AAAGTATATGGCTGTTATGGACGTGCGCTATCACACCACTCCCGTCTCAGTGGACACTCACTTTTATGCAAGTTATGGATGGCTATCATTTCGGGTGGATTATCAAACCGCTCGCGCGAGTCTGTGTGTATAGAACTTGCTCAATCGTGTTGTCAGTAGTACACACGCCTCGGGTGTAAGTAATGGCAACTCAGTTTATGTCCGTGCATACCGCTGTCGTATTGTGTGCTACTGCTGGCTTCTTGTTAGAGGGCCACAGATGGCGCCCGAATGTGTGTTGGAAGGAGCTGCACTATCCAGGCATATGCCTAAGCCGTTTGTACTTATATATATACGTGTTTGATCAAATATCCAGGTATGCTGAAGCCACCTGTATATTGCGTATCTGATCCTATTTGATACATTTGTTCGTGTAGATATCTAAGCAAGTTTGAGCGTTTACTTTTTCCGATATAAAGTTCTGCTAAAGTTACTTGTTTGTATCCAGGGCTACCTATGTAACTAGCCGTGGGTGCCTTTAGCTATTCGAAAACGTTTGCTTGTTCGTTCCGATGTTTGGGTGTACCCAAGCCACTTGTTTCAAAACATTGCCAAAAGGAGATTGCGCTGCTGCTGGGATATGTACATTCTGGGTCACATCACTGTGTGTATATGGTATATAATAATTGCATGCATATTTTACATACAAGAATGCATGTATGTACGATATACAAAGAATGTATGCATATGTGATGTATATTGTACGTAAACGTATGCGTATGTGCCATGTATTGCATGTATGCATATATAATATATAATATACAATGTGTATGCATATATGATAAAATGTGTAAGCATATATAACATACAATGTGTATGCATATATGATATGTATTGCAAGTATACATACATGATATAAAATGCATACACGTTCGCCCCACAGGCTCGTACATGTGGCCACCCAGACCACGTTGGAGATGAGCGGCGAGCGGCTGCCAGACTTTGCATTTGGACAGTATGAGATCATCTCCAGCAAGCACACAACTACCAAGGATGTTTTCTACGTCGACACGCACAAGAACGGTACGGGTAAACGGACACCATTCGCTATCACAACCACATATATTATAGGTTTAGGGTGAGTGTCAAATGGAAATACAGACATCGCTAGCCATTATAAGAGATGCTGTTTAATGAGAATCCAGGAGCCTACTACTGAGATCAGTGCGCAACTCATATATTGAACAGTTTAGCATAGAAACACACCACCACATAGTGTACACCATGCAGCGTGCTGTGGCCCACATTGGTATACTACGGCAATCCAATCCATGGGTCAGTGCCATCGGTTACATCGAGCATGCTAACTAGTCGCTAAGCTCAAGGGTGTTGTGTACTATTCCAATACGTTTAACATTTTATCATTAGTTTCAAGGATAAGGGTGTTGTGTACTATTCCAATCGTTTAACATTTTATAACTAGTTTTGAGAATTAGTTTAACATTCTATCTCTAGTGTCAAGGGTTCGTAGCATGCTAACTAGTCGCTAAGCTCAAGGGTGTTGTGTACTATTCCAATACGTTTAACATTTTATCACTAGTGTCAAGGATTCGTAGCATGCTAACTAGTAGCTAAGCTCAAGGGCGTTGTGTACTATTCCAATACGTTTAACATTATATCTCTAGTGTCAAGAATTCGTAGCATGCTGACTAGTCGTTAGGCTCAAGGGTATTGTGTACTGTTACAATGCGTTTAACATTTTATCACTAGTTTCAAGGATTAGTAGCACCCTATATCCAGTAATCCCATCTCCCCTGCCGCTCTATGTTTTGTAATAGTACACCCTGGCGTGGCAGATGCCTATTTGATCGTCACATGCATAGCTGTGAACAATCATACACGTATGATTGTATGATTGTTCTATGTCTATAACAATGATAAGCCGACTGCTGGCGCCAACCTGTCAAGTGCACACCAATCTCAAATGTTTGGAACAGAATCACACCCAAGAGTGGTGGCTATATGCAAATGTACAGCCTTTGACACACCCATTGAATACTGAATTATTCAAGTACACAGCCACAGACACCTACTTGATACTTCATCATTCATACACATAATCGTAACACGCATACAACACTTGTCCATTCAGATACACACCCATGCAGCACTCAACCATTCAAATTCACTACCACAGATATTCATTAAGCACTGAAACATTCAAAAGTACAACCAAAGAAACTTGTCAAACAGCTCACCATCCAACTACACAACCACAGACACCCATGCAGCACTCACCCACACAACCAAATCAACTGACCTTTCTCATGTGCACACCCCACAGACACCCATGCAGCACTCACCCACACAACCAAACCAACTGACCTTTCTCATGTGCACACCCCACAGACACCCATGCAGCACTCACCCACACAACTAAATCAACTGACCTTTCTCATATGCACACCCCACAGACACCCATGCAGCACTCACCCACACAACCAAACCAACTGACCTTTTTTATATGCACACCCCACAGATCGATTAGACGCAAGTGTCAACAGTGGTTTTGAGTCGCAGAGTGGTTTGTCGTCGACGCTGGAACTAATTAGTGAGATGATCCGATCCAACAATCGTCTCACAGGCAAGGTGGGTGATGCGAAGGACCAAGCTACTTTAAACGTTGCTTGTTCACGTACAGGCATTGGCGTTAGCACACTGATGTGCTGATGTGTGTGGGTCCTGGTAGACCTATCTCTATGTCGTCTGGCGGTCTATCCAGTGATATATATACCACTGAGAGAGCAACGCATTGTATCGGGTCGTGAAATCCGTTCGCGGTGTGTGTGGAGACGCACGTGCTACTTTATCTGCAGATACTCTCTTATCTCCGCAACAGATAACCACCCATCTTGCATATGGCAGTTCTCTCTGTAGATTATCCCCCTCCTACCGGCAATTTGCCATATGCACTGCTATTGAACGGCTTTTGATCGCTTTTGGAGTCGTGGTATCGTGGCGACAGGTCCACTGAACAAATACACGACTCGATCATGTCGCAAAATTTGGCGTGTTATTGGACTGACTCGGCTTGTGTTGTGGTACCTAATTCCTACTGTATCATTTGATACTCTATGTCTCAAGTATATTATATATATATATATATATATATATATATATATATGTATGTATGTATATATATATGTGTGTGTGTGTGTGTACTAC